AGAATGCGAACACTACTACCCTGGCAGCTGCCATGTAAGGCCAAGAATAAAGGTCCACTGGGACCAGAACAAGAAGCCCCTGCCTCTGTTTGTGTCGTGTCCCTCCAGTGTCCTCTATTAACTAGGCTTAGCATTGCCCCAGCTGACACAAAAGATTTGTCTATAGGGTCCAGCTCATTTCACAAAGCAGGGCAAAGAAGGGTAGTTTTGGAGCTAAGTGACAATAAATTGATAACTTGCTACAGTTGAGGAATAAATAAATGTCTTCATCGCCCCAAACTGTAACTAACTAGAAGGGTCATATGTAGTCCGAGATAATCAAATGAGAACATTTTTTAAATTTAATGAAGGGAGTGGGGCTCTTCAATGGAAGAAAAGGGAGATATAAGCTATAAAACAGGATCATAATGACCAAGGAGATAAGAGACAAAGTATTAAGAGGACAACCAGATGGGTCAGATACCTGTGAAGGTGTACCAGCTCTTTCACTTCAGTCACTCAGGGGGTCCACCTCTGCGGACCCCATGGACCCCAGCACGCCAGGCCTCCCCGTCACCAACTCCCAGAGTCTACTCAAACTCATGTCCATCGAGTCGGTGATGCCATCCAACCATCTCATCCTCTGTCGTTCCCTTCTCCTCCTGCTCTCAATCTTTCCCAGCATCAGGGTCTTTTCCAATGGCCAAAGTATTGGAGTTTCAGCCTCAGCATCAGTCCCTCCAATGAATATTCAGGACTGATTTCCTTTAGGTTGGACTGGTTGGATTTCCTTGTAGTCCAAGGGACTCTCAAGAGTCTTCTCCAACACCACAGTCCAAAAACATCAATTCTTTGGCGCTCAGCTTTCTTTATAGTCCAACTCTCACATCCATACATGACTACTGGAGAAACCATAGCTTTGACTAGACAGACCTTTGTTGGCAGAGTAATGTCTCTGCTTTATAATATGCTGTCCAAGTTGGTCATAACTTTAACAAAAGCAATTTGTTACCAGCTCTTTAAAAAAATTAATTATCTTATCCTCTTTCCAGAATTAAGGCTTCCCTCATGGCTCAGATGGTAAAGAATCCACCTGCAATGAGGGAGACCTGGGTTTGATTCCTGGGTCAGGAAGATCCCCTGGAGAAGGGAATGGCAACTCACTCCAGTATTCTTGCCTGGAGAATCCCATGGATAGAGAAACCTCACTCTATGGGCTTGGAGCTTTCATGGTGGCTCAGTGGTAAAGAATCTGCCTGCCAGAGTAGAAGACACAGGTTCAATCCCTGGGTCAGGAAGATGCCTTGGAGAAGGAAATGGCAACCCACTCCAGTATTCTTGCCTGGGAAATCCCATGGACAGAAGAAGCCTGGAATGCTACAGTTCCACATCATTGCAAAGAGTAGGACACGACTTAGCAGCTAAACAACAACAGCGATTCTGTATGCTTATTCCAGTGACCATAAATTCAGTCGCATGCCACAGCTCAGAACACGTTATCACAACAGACTATTTTCCAATTTTTGAATTAACTTTCATGAAACCATTTACAAAGGGAATAAAAATTAAATCTCACTTCGTTTCATGTAACGTATTGCTTTACACCCAGGGGTTAGGAGTCCACGCTTTCATTGCCTAAGACCTGGGGTTTAATCCCTGGTCAGGGAACAAAGATCCCACAAGCCACACAGTGCAGCCATTAATAATAATAAAGTAATAATAATGTGTTGCTTTATCCAAAATAATATCTCAAAGTTTTTCATTAATGTAATATTAAGCTAGCATTTCCATAATTTATTCTATCTTCCTATACTATTAGCTACAAAATGTTACCTAAAGAAGGGAAAGTCCTGGTTTACCGAGATCAGTGCTAGACCGAGATTTGCTCAGTGAACTTTTCTCACAGTGTTGTTGAAGACTCCCCCAGAAGGATTGCTTGGTAGTAAGCACATTCCTCTAGGATGCAGGAGGGGGGCTGGCCAAGCTCTGAAGGCAGAGGCGATATTGTCTTGCACTCCCCCAGCTGTCCAGAAGGGTCTACTGTGGGGACTAATCTTGGCCTCCCAGGTTGCTCACAGACACTACCCACTCTTAAGCCTGAGAACTAGCCCTGGGGCTCATCGGGTGGTGCTGAGACAAAAATGTTCTGCAAGATCCACTCAGCACCCATGCTTCCAAACTGACTGGTTCCAGAAATTTGAGGGAGTTGATGCTTTTGGGGGGTACACTTTGTCTAGTGAGATACAGAAAGCAGCAGATACATTCTTCTCCCTTCCTCCCCACCATGGACAGTTAGGGGATGTGCTAGTTTCATACAGCCTTCTTGATGACATCCCCAGAGACCCATCACCTGTTCTTGATATGAAGCTGTGGGCAGCACAGTAATGCATGTATGTGGAGTGAAGTGAAAGTCACTCAGTTGTGTCTGATTCTTTGCGATCCCATGGACTATAGCCCATAGTCCATGGAATTATCTAGGCTAGAATACTGGAGTGGGTAGCCTTTCTCTTCTCCAGAGGATCTTTCCAGCCCAGGGACCAAATCCAGGTCTCCCACATTGCAGATGGATTCTTTACCATCTGAGACACAAAGGAAGCCCAAGAATACTGGAGTGGGTAGCCTATCCCTTCTCCAGTGGATCTTCCCGACCCAGGAATCGAAGCAGTGTCTCCTGAATTGCAGGTGAATTCTTTACCAACTGAGCTAAGAGGGAAGCCCCTATTTTACTGAATTCCTTCTCTGCTTTACTCTCCTTTCTTTCTTACTCCTGCTTCCCTGGGACTGCACCATTCCCCAAAGAGTTAACCCATAAGCTTTTGTCTCAGGCTCTGCTTTCTAGAAAACTAGGCTAAAACACCAATGCTCTCATTCTACTTTCTACCCTCAAAGGTTACTATTGTTAACAGTCTAATACAGATCCTCTGTTAATTGACTCACATACGTGAGGTTGGTATTGTTTAGCTGGGTTTCATTAGTTTAAAATTTTCTTAATTTTTACTTATTTATTTACTTTTGGCTGTGCCAGATCTTTGTTGCTGCGTGGGGGCTACTCTCTAGTGGAAGTGCATGGGCTTCTCATCGGGGTGGCTTCTCTTGCTGTGGAGCGTAGGCTCTGGGGCATGCCAGCTTCAGTAGTTGTCGGGGTACACTTATTTGCCCTGCTGCATGTGGAATCTTCCTGGACCAGAGATCGAACTGCTCCCCTGCATTCATTAACCACTGAACCATCAGGGAAGACCTATTTAGTTGTCTTATGCCCATGATATCATACTACACTTTACCCCTGAGATTGTTATTTTTTTAAGATTTTTCTTTTTTATGTGGACCATTTTAAAAATATTTATCGAATTTGTTACAATATTGTTTCTGTTTTATACTTTGTTTTCTTTGGCCAAGAGGTATATGGGATCTTAGCTTCCCAACTAATGAAGTGAAGTGAAGTGAAAGTCATTCAGTTGTGTCCAACTGTTTGCGACCCCATGGACTGTAATTCTCCAGGCCAGAATACTGGAGTGGGTAGCCTTTCTCTTCCCTAGGGGATCTTCCCAACCCAGGGATTGAACCCAGGTCTCCCGGATTGCAGGAGAATTGTTTACCAGCTGAGCCACAAGGGAAGCCCTCCCTACTAATGATGGAACCCAAATCCCCTGTGTTGGAAATGCAAGTCTTAACCACTGAACCACCAGGAAGTCCCCTCATGACTTGTTAGTAACAATGTGTTTTGGATATCTCACCATGTCTGTAAACACAAAATTTATCTCATTCTTTTATTCCCCCAATCTTTTATTATGAAAAATTTCAATCATACAGAAAAGTTGAAAGAATTTTACAGTGAATACCCATATACACACCACATAGACCCTTCCATTAATATTTTACTAGATTTGCTTTATTTATATCTATCCATCCCACTATTCATCCATTCATTTTGCTTTTTGATGCATTCCTAAGTAAATTTCAGACATCAGCACACCTCCTTCTGAAAAAATCAGTATAAATATCATTAATTATAGTGTAGTGTTTATATTTCATTTTTTGTTCCAGGTAAAATGTACATATAATGGAATACACAAACCTTAAGCCTGCTTCGGCTGATATTTAAAAATTCATACACTTGTGTAATCAAAACCCATATAAAGACAAAACATTATCATCACTGTAGTAGATTCCCTCATGTTTTTCTCCAGGTCAATTCCTGCCCTTAACATTGCAACCACTGTTCTAATTTTATTCCATCAAAGTTTAGTCTTACCTGTTCTAGATTCTCATATAAATGGAAGTATAATATGTGTTCTTTTGTGTAAGTTATTTCACTAGGTGTAATGATTTGGGGATTCACCCTTATTTATTATAATTACTGAGTACTACTCCATTGTATGAATAAATGTATTTATGTATCTGTTCTCCTGTTCATGGACTCCTGGTCTGTTTCCAGGTTTTGGGCCGTGATGAATAGAGCTGCTATACACATTCCTGTAGAAGTCTTTTCATGCACATAAACTTTTATTTCTCTTGAGTAAGAATCAAGGAGTGGGATTGCTGGTTTATAGGATAGAAATTTGTTAAGTTTTATTGAAAAAAAAACAAAACCTGCCCTACTTTTTTTCCAAAGTGGCTATACCACTTTACACTTACAAAAACAAAGTATGTAAGAACTGGTTACTGCACATCCATGCCAACATTTGGTGTTGTCAGTCTTATTCATGTTAGACATTCTGGTGGGTGTATAGTGATATAGCACTGCGGTGATATTCTCTTTAAGGGCTGCATAGTATTTCATGGTATAACTTCACTTTCTTGACTATTACTTACCAATAGACATTAGAGTTGTTTTCTTGGTTGGGCTAAACTACATTTCCCAGAATTTCTTTTCCTGTATGCTTCCTTTAGAGTGGACCACAAGTGAGATTTGAGGGACAGGAGGAAAGCAGCAGGCATTTTGTAGTTCATAAACATTGTTGGTGATTTGCTAATTAACCACCTTGGAAGTGAAGTAGCAATTGAAACTACAACTTCTCTACCTTCACCTGGATCCTCTTTCAACTTCTCCAACTCCTGGGCCAGTTGCACATATTTTGCTCTGTGACAAAGGCTCTGGCTCCGGCAGGATGCCTGCATCTGCAAGACTGGAAGCAGTGAAAACTGACATGGGTTCCATTCCATCCTTGTGGGATGCTAGCTCTTGCTTGTGGGCTGAGTCTGCTCCTGATCTCAACTTACCTCCATATTCGCTTTCACACTGCCTGCCTGCATTTCTGTAAAATAGATTCCCTAGAAGTAGAATTGCTAAATCAAACTTCAGCCTATTAACGTTTAGACATAGTGACAAATTGCCCTTCAAAAGACTCTACCAATTGTATTCTTACAAATGATGTATCAGGGTGCTCATTTTCCAGAAAACCAAACTGGATTATTATGAATCATTTTAATCGTTGTCTATTTGATTGATTAAAAATAATAACTGTCTGTTGTTTAAAGCTGCAGCTCTGCTGATCAATGAGGCTGAACTTCTTTTCATATGATATTGGGTATTATCTTTCTTCTGTAAATTCCTGTCTTTTTTTTCTGTTGAGATATATGGGCTTGCTTTCATGTATTTTATGTATTATACATTTTATGTATTATATATAATATATATATATACATTTTATGTATTATAGATATTAATCCTTTCTCTGTTATAAGTTTGGCAAAAACATCATTCTAATCTCCCTTACCTTTTAACTTTGCTTGTAATACCTTTCGCTTTACAAAAAATTTTGATGTAGTAAAAACTGTCTATCTTTTACTTTTATCATCTCTGAGTTCTCTGTTCTTCCTTAGATAAGATTTTCTCACATAAAGATTATAAATATCATCCTTTGCATGCTGTGTGCCAAGTCGCTTCAGTCATGACTTACTCTTTGCGACTCTATGGGGTGTAGCTCACGAGGCTCCTCTGTCCATGGGATTCTCCAGGCAAGAATATTGGAGTGGGTTACCATGCTCTCCTCCAGAGGACCTTCCCAACCCAAGTTTAGAACCCGATGAAAAGCTGTTGCTACCAGACATGAACAACACAGGGATTCTTGGCCTTAGGAGAGGAATTCAGTTGGGCCAGTGATGAGGCTTGATCCCTCAGAGCTTTTTTTAATAAAGTTTTATTAAAGTATAAAAGAAATAGAGAAAGCTTCTGACATACACATCAGAAGGGGGCAGAAAGAATGCCCCCCTTGCTAGTTTTCAGCAAGAAGTTATATACCTATTCAGTTCAGTTCAGTTCAATCGCTCAGTCGTGTCCGACTCTTTGTAACCTCATGGACCACAGCACACCAGGACTCCCTGTCCATCACCAACTCCCGGAGTTTACCCAAACTCATGTCCATTAAGTTGGTGATGCCACCCAACCATCTCATCCTCTGTCGTCCCCTTCTCCTGCAGCCTTCAATCTTTCCCAGCATCAGGGTCTTTTCAAATGAGTCAGCTCTTCACATCAGGTGGCCAAAGTACTGGAGTTTCAGCTTCAACATCAGTCCTTCCAATGAACACTCAGAACTGATCTCCTTTAGGATGGACTGGTTGGATCTCCTTGCAGTCCAAGGGACTCTCAAGAGTCTTCTCTAACACCGCAGTTCAAAAGCATCAATTCTTCGGCACTCATCTTTCTTTATAGTCCAGGTTTCCATCTATACATGACTACTGGAAAAACCAAAGCCTTGACTAGACAGACCTTTCTTGACAAAGTAATGTCTCTGCTTTTTAATATGCTGTCTAGGTTGGTCACAACTTTCCTTCAAAGGAGTAAGTATCTTTTAATTTCATGGCTGCAGTCACCATCTGCATTGATTTTGGAGCCCAGAAAAATAAATTCTGCCACTGTTTCCACTGTTTCCCCATCTATTTGCCATGAAATGATGGGACTGGGTGCCATGATCTTAGTTTTCTGAATGTTGAGCTTTAAGTCAACTTTTTCACTCTCCTCTTTCACTTTCATTAAGAGGCTCTTTAGTTCTTCTTCACTTTCTGCCATAAGGGTAGTGTCATCTGCATATCTGAGGTTATTGATATTTCTCCCATCAATCTTGATTTCAGCTTGTGCTTCATCCAGCCCAGCATTTCTCATGATGTACTCTGCCTATAAGTTAAATAAGCAGGGTGACAATATACAACCTTGACATACTTCTTTCCCAGTTTGGAACCAGTCTGTTGTTCCATGTCTGGTTCTAACTGTTGCTTCCTGACCTGCATACAGACTTCTCAGGTGGCAGGTCAGGTGGTCTGGTATTCCCATCTCTTTCAGAATTTTCCACAGTTTGTTGTGATCTACATAGTCAAAGGCTTTGGCATAGTCAATACAGCAGAAGTAGATGTTTTTCTGGAACTCTCTTGCGTTTTCGATGATCCAGAGGATGTTGGCGATTTGATCTCTGGTTCCTCTGCCTTTTCTAAAGCCAGCTTGAACATCTGGAAGTTCACAGTTCACTTATTGCTGAAGCCTGGCTTGGAGAATTTTGAGCATTACTTTATGAGCATGTGAGATGAGTAGAACTGTGTAGTAGTTTGAGCATTCTTTGGCATTGCCTTTCTTAGAGATTGAAATGAAAACTCACCTTTTCCAGTCCTGTGGCCACTCCTGAGTCTTCCAAATTTGCTGGCATTTTGACTGCAGCACTTTCACACCATCATCTTTTAGGATTTGAAATAGCTCAAATGGAATTCCATCACCTCCACTAGCTTTGTTTGTAGTGATGCTTCCTAAGGCCCACTTGACTTCACATTCCAGGATGTGTGGCTCAGGTGAGTGATCACACCATCGTGATTATCTGGGTTGTGAAGATCTTTTTTGTATAGATCTTCAGTGTATTCTTGCCACCTCTTCTTAATATCTTCTGCTTCTGTTAGGTTCATACCATTTCTGTTCTTTATTGAGCCCATCTTTGCATGAAATGTTCCCTTGGTATCTCTAATTTTCTTGAAGAGATCTCTAGTCTTTCCCAGTCTATTGTTTTCCTCTATTTCTTTGCATTGAATGCTGAGGAAGGCTTTCTTATCTCTCCTTGCTCTTCTTTGGAACTCTGCATTCAAATGGGTTTATCTTTCCTTTTCACCTTTGCTTTTTGCTTCTCTTCTTTTCACAGCTATTTGTAAGGCCTCCTCAGACAGCCATTTTGCTTTTTTACATTTCTTTTTTGGGGGGGGATGAGCTTGATCCCTGTCTCCTGTACAATGTCACGAACCTCCGTCCATAGTTCATCAGTCACTCTATCAGATCTAGTTCCTTAAATCTATTTTTCACTTCCACGGTATAATCGTAAGGGATTTGATTTAGGTCATACCTGAATGGTCTAGTGGTTTTCCCTACTTTCTTCAACTTAAGTCTGAATTTGGCAATAAGGAGTTCATGATCTGAGCCACAGTCAGCTCCCAGTCTGTTTTTGCTGACTGTATAGAGCTTCTCCATCTTTGGCTGCAAAGAATAGAATCAATCTGATTTCAGTGTTGGCCATCTGGTGATGTCCATGTGTAGAGTCTTCTCTTGTGTTGTTGTTAATATACCTATTAATAAGCTGTTAATTATGAAGAAGGAATTCATAGGGCCTGGACTCCATCTCAGGCCTGTTCATGCTGATCGTGCTCGGCCACCTCTCCAGTGGACTCTGAACTCTGTGTTTAGTGCATGTGGAAATGACAACAGAAGGATAAGACCCCCTCCAGACAGGGGAACCTTGAAGATCATATCCAGGTTACTCCTCGCCTAAGAGAACACATACACTAATCACCCCTTCCTCCAGAGAGGCAATAAATTTTCTGTACCTATCAGAGTGTAACCTCGGGCTTATTGATTATTGGCTAATTGTTTAACTGCCTAAGTACATGGCACATGAATGATGGGGTTATTGGGATTGTATTTACCCTTCCCTTGTTTACGTAAGTCTCGAGGAATTTGTGGTGGTGGGTTTGGGCATGTACACATGGGGTATAAAAGATTTTCGCAAATGCTGGTCGGGGTCCTTGGCTAAGAGGAGACTCTGCCTTGGGCCTGCCAGTGTAATAAACTGCACTCCACTATCTGCATTGTCCTTCTGAGTGAGTCTGTTTCCCAGAAGGTGTGGCTACAACAGTTAGAAAAAGGAAACATCTGAAAACTCACAGAATGGCATCAGGCCCCTTACCCACAATATGCATTTTGAGATGGCATTGGCACAAGGTGGGTCATCCTGGGATATAAAACAATTGACATGAACCTTGAAGGAAGGCAGATTTCCAAGTAAATGGATAGTTCTATTAACATAGATCTATTAACATATAATCTATAATCTATTAACATTGATTAAGAGAACATTTCCATGAGTAAAACATACCGGTTTGTTGAGCCATTATCGGTTCTGAGTCTTAGGCAGAACCAACTTGAAGAAAGGCAGATTCTAAGGTAAATACATAGTTCATTAATATAGCTTAAGAAAAACATTTCCATAAGAAAAATGCATTGGTTAGTTAAAGGTTTGAGAAAAGTTAAGTTCAGGTGGAACCAGGTGTCGTCATGGCAACACAGAGTTTTAAAAGAAACTTTTTAAATGTGTATAGAGAAGGGGGAAAAACAGTGTGACACTTGTGGTTTGTTCCTCTGCTTAGGGACCCCTAGCCTTCCTGCCTGTTACCCTCTGACCAAGTCTCTTATGTCTTCTGCATTCGCAGGCAGGCAACCTGGGAAGCCCCTTAATACTCTTATAACTTTGTCTTTCTATGTTTAGAAATCCATCTAAAATTTGTTTTGATGTATAGGATCTACTTCTTTTTTCCAATACACCTATCCAGTTGTCCCAATGGTATTTATATAAATGTTGTCCTTTCCTTATGGGTTTAAAAAGTTGCTTTTATCAGATATTAAATTTACATATATTCAAGAGTCTTTTTCTGGATGTGATACTCTGTCCCATTCATCTATTATACATTGATGTAGCATTGTACTGATTCGATTATTGTAGCTTTGTGTTAAATTTTGCAACATTAACTTTAAGTGAAATAACCTTTTTATTAAGGCTTAAAGAACTGGACATGGAACAACAGACTGGTTCCAAATAGGAAAAGGAGTACGTCAAGGCTGTATGTTGTCACCCTGCTTATTTAACTTATATGCA